TGGTTTTTTCGGCTAAAATGGGATGGTGCAGTCTCGATTCTAGTGGGATTCTCGGTTAATGACTGCATGTTTGGGTTATGGCCGATTTTCGGCGTTGGTTACTGAGAAACGGGGGAGGTTTCCTTCGATTCACTCCCTGATTTTGTGTTATTTTGGTTTCTGGTGCCAAGATTTTTGGTCAGTTTTTGGATTTGACTGGTGCGTGGCCTCAACGCGCTCCCCGTGTGTCTCCCTTCCTTGATACAAGACCCTAATTTGATTTGGGATGGGTCAGGCTATTGGGCTTCCTTTGCTGAGCTCCCACCGGGTTTGCTTGTTGGGTCAGGCTGGCAGGCCCGGTTGGGCTTCGTTGTTGGACATGCTCTTTGGATTTGTATTTAATTTGGACCTGGACTTAAGGAAAAAACTGAACAAATAATATTAATAATAAAATGAAAATAAAAATAATATTATATGATATGATACATACTATATATTTATTTAAAAACTATATTACATATATTATATTTTCAAAAACTATATAATATTTTTTCAAAAAAGTATATATATTACATATATGCTTTCAAAAACTATATTATATATGTTTTAAAAAAACGTTTTCAAAAAAACGTTTTTTAAAACTATATATTATATGTTTTCAAAAACCGTTTTTAAAAATTATATATTATATGTTTTCAAAACCGTTTTTTTAAAACTATATATTATATGCTTTCAAAAATATTTTCAAAAACTGTGCTATATATCTTCAAAAACTATATGTATTGTATATTTTTGGAATTATTATATATATTATCATATATATTAAATTAGAATCAAATTTGTAAGAAAACTATATCCGAATAAAACTTATATATCTAAATCTAATATGAAGATCTAAAAATAATCAACTAGACAATAAATAAGTATCATTTTTTAATTTGACATTAAACTAATTAACGTTAATATGTATAGATAGTACAATAATTTGACAGAAAGCTTACATAAGATTATCTTCCCATTGTTTTGCCTAATAATTACAAGAGCCGAAAGTTTAAGATTATGGTCTACCCATCATATACAGCTAAGGTTCATTGATTAAATGAAGACAATGTAATCATTTAAAACAAGTTTAATATGAATAAATATTCAACATATCAACAATGAACTTTTTGATTTTACGAGTGGATTTTAAAAAATTAACATGGGTTTTATTTATTTATTTATTTAAAATAATAATTAAGGGCTTGAAATTAGCTGACCCTTATTCTCATATGTAATGAGATAAGGGGAGGTAGGATAGTAGGCTGCCCCCAACGCCAGGTTGAGAATAGCTTCCGTGAGAGACCTCCAAATTATGAAATGCCATCTCACGTATAGAATTTAGAAACCTTACCATTAGTATAGCATATAATAATTAATATTGTATATTATAATTAAATTTGAATATTTTTTATTCTATTCCCAATTGTGTTTGATGTTGGATTTAATTTGAGCTAGGTGAAATGAATAATTTGACAATTCAACGTGTCTAATTTAACAGTGGCAGTCAAAAAAAGGAGCCACTGTCGGTAACATAAGTTTGAATTCCTTTAAATATATATTGATACATTGAATTTCTTAGAATATATACATCTTGAGTTCAAAGTGGGAATATTGACATTATAAACTATATATATATTTACATATAATATGATCGAAGAAGCTAGGAAAGTTGTACAACTTGTTATATGGGTCGCGAGGTTGAACTCCATCATGCTCAAAATCTTCATTTCTTTTATTAGTTTGTTTATTAAAGTGTTTTGTGACTCGATTACATTTATATGATTCTTTCATAATTTTTAATATAATCATGTGAATAATTTTTTACGTTCATTTCAGATATGAAAAATAAAATTTTAAAATTATTATAAAAACATATTGAATATTAATCTTCTAATTATGTCAATTTATTCAATATTTTTTTTGATGAAATTCATTTGGATCTCATCTGAGCGGAATATCAATAAATTTACATATAATTATAAATACTATAATAAAAATAAACATGTCACTTAATAATTAAATAAATTAAAAAATTATCATATGAGTAATAAATACGGATTGTTAGTCTACTAATAAATTTTATTTACGAAAGAATTGTTTTGATTAAAAATAAAATATCGAAAATCAAAATATTTTAAAAAAAATATGAATCTAATTTTATATACTATTATAGAATAATTTTAACCCTATCTAAAAAGAATACACAACTAAATAATTATAATCAAAATTAATCATTATAATACATAATTTGATAAATAAATTAAAATATATCTAAATCTAAATTTAAAATTGTTATATAAACTTGTTTTTTTCCCACATATAAAACAATATAAAAAAGAGATTAAAAACTCGTAATTCCAAATATGAATAGGAGTCAAATACTTAACAGTTGGGTTTGAAGGTTGAAAACTGTTGCTGACACACATCAATGCCTGATTTTATGCTTCCATAGGTTGGCATGGAATCAAAGTTATCGTAAATTCAACCAAACTTTATTAGCTTCTCCAAAATCGGTTTTCGTTTTTTTTATCTTCTTCTAAGAAATATACTATTTTTTAAGTAGGAAAACATATATAATTTCATGGATTTTGTATCATATCCGTATCTGTTTCAATTGAGGTGGAGATGAATATAAATTTAGTGAGTAATAGGCGAATGTAGATGTAAAAAGTTATATCCGTCGTAGATAGATGATGAGTTTAAGATCTTACTCACCTCGTATCCGTCCGCCTCGCATTCGCCTGCCCACTAATTACTGACCATATAAATTTTGGACTATTATGAATTTAAGTATAATTTCAGAGACTATTCTATAGATCTTAAATTTTTTTAGGACATGACTTGTAATATAACCAAATATTGAATCATAAACATTTATTTAACCAAATGTGAGGATATAAACATTTTATTATGTTTCTTAACAGTCGTGTTTGTTTTATGTTTTGTTATTTATGTAATATGTGAGGTTGCTACCAGACAAGTATAAACGGGGTACAAACGCGTACGAAATGGGTAGTATGTAACCAATTGAATAGTGAGTGTGTAGATGAATTTTAAAATATATTTACATTGATAGATGTAGATTTAAAAATTGTATATATCGTAAGTAGTTAATATGTAGTGAATACGAAAAATATTATATGAGTATATTGATTTGAACAATTATTAGATTAAATAATAAAGTAGTTGAAATTTGTTATGCCGAGCGGCGCGTAATTGGAAAACAGCGCGTGGTGGTGTTGGAAGGGCGGGCCTCCGCAATTCATGCGCTTTGGCTTTTGTCTATGAGGAACGAGGTACCGACTCACTGCCGATGGCACGTGCACTCGTGACCTCTTAATCACCCACCAACTCTCTGTTTACACACCTTTTTGTGTGCGTTTTGTTTGTTTACTTAAAGCTCAAATTTAATTTATAATATTCTTATTTGTATTTAATATAATAATATTTTTATATTTTATCTCTTTTATTGTTTATGTTTGAGTTTTATAGTAAGGATTGCAGCACGACAGTATAGATGCCAGTAAGGTAAAAACATTTTGTAAACTGTATTTTTAAAAGATATATTCAATAATTTGTGTTTTTGTCTTATGTGATATTTAAAAAAAAATCATTAATTTTCTTTTTAAGTTAATCAACGAGTTTAAGAAAATTAAAATTCGACATTTCATATCTTAATATAGTGTAAAACTTTTTTTTACATTAATTTTAAATTTTTAGGTTTATATTATCTTTGAAAATTTTGAGTTTGAACTTTTTTAAACAGTTGAACTTAAAAAATAATTTTTATTTAAAAATATACATAATTGTTTATAAAGATTTAATACGTGTAATTTTATTATATTTTTTAATTTTTTAATGAAATTTTGTTAGGTATGATGCAGAAAGATTAATAGAAATTTAAATTTCAAACAGATTTATTAAGAATTTCATCATTTACGTCAAGTGTTATGATAATATCTAATATATTTCTTTTGTCAAACTCAAATAAAAAGCTTGAAAGTGATGATGAATTTTCAGTTTATATAAAAAATTTACCGCGACTTTCCATGTTAGAGAATTTATTTAATTATTTCATCCTCATCCTAAAATTCAAATTAATCATTGTTGTCAATAGATAAATTAGAAATGATACTTAAACAAATCAACTTATAGCTAAAAAATAGATAATAAATATGAAATTTATGTTCATGAAAAGTTAATTTATATATTATATGAACTCAATTTTTGATACGAATATTTAGTATGAATATGTGGACACAAATTAATTTATTTTAGTGAGTGTAAAGGCCTAAAGGGTGATTGGAAGTTTATTATCAATATATACGCATGTATCTTTCCAAATCGATTTTTCCCTTGTAAATTCACAAAATTCAATTCACAATGCCAATTACTCTTTCACCGCTTAATCCATCATTGCCTTCGGCCTTTATTAACCTAATTATGAAGTGATGAGCGCATTATCTAAAAAATCAGACATGTCGATCTTTATAAATTATAACTTACACACTTACAATCATAATTGTGAATTTAATAATTTAATAATTATGGATCATCTCAATAACATATGATTATATACATTATTCTGGTGATATGAATTCAAATAATTTTTTTATAAAGTATATGCAAATTTATCTTATGGAAAAAATGACCAAGTCTTCTTCATCAGACAACTCCGAAACTTATTTTTGTTTGGTTGTAAGAGAGAGAGAGAGAGAGAGAGAGAGAGAGAGAGAGAGAGAGACGGACAAAAGGAAGGAAAGAGTTTTGCTTTACTGTGTGGTTAAAAAGCTAAAGGCCAGCCTGAGCTTACCCAAAGCTTTTATAACCAAGAGGTGTCAAAGGCAGCAGCAGACACCAGTGTATATCAAAGAAAGTAGCTTCCTTTGGAGCCCAAAGAAAAAAAAAAGAACCCATCTTTTCTCAAATATATAGGCATATATATATATATATATATATATATATATATATATATATATACACACAGAGAGAGAGAGAGAGAGAGAGAGAGAGAGGGACTAGAGAGGACGAGAGAGATGGTGGGCTCAGGTTCAGCAGATAGGACTCATAGGAGCAAAGAAGCTGTTGGGATGATGGCCCTTCATGAGGCACTTAGAACCGTCTGTCTCAACTCAGACTGGACTTACTCTGTTTTCTGGACCATCCGTCCTCGCCTGTATCTTCCTTCTTTTTGTTCTCTATTATCAAATCTTCATTTTTTTTATTTCTTTTCTTTGTATTCACTTGCTCTCTGTTTATTCACTTTGCTAAAATTTCCTTTTTCTTCTCTCTTTTTAATTTCTTCAAGTTTTTGTAATTTTCTCATCTGTTTTACTGAATCGGGTCTCTTTGTTTTGGCGTAGGAGAGTAAGGGGCGGTAATGGTTGCAAGGTTGGAGATGACAACGGCAGCTTGTAAGTATGGTTTTGGGGTTTTCATTCTGCACTTTTTTCTCTACTTGTTTGGTTCTCTAGAAAACTGAGGAAAACGAAATAACTTCAGAGCTTAAAGTGCTGCAAACTTTTGCCTATTAAGTTAACAAGAAAACAGAGGAAAATGAAAGAACTTCGTACTCAGGCATTACATGTTTCCTTGTAGAAACATGAGATATTTGGTTAATGAGAGACTTTGAGTCATTAATTGATTTTATGAGATGGGTTTTTGTTATTATCATTTCTAAATTCAGCAAATTTGTGTAAAAATTGTTTTTTTCCCCTTCTGGTGAAGGATGTTGATGTGGGAAGATGGATTTTGCCGAGGAAGAGTGACAGATTATTTAGAAGATATGGATGCAGAAGATCCAGTGAAGAAAGCTTTCAGCAAATTATCCATTCAGTTATATAATTATGGAGAAGGGTGGGTACTGGGTAGGTGCTATTAATATTTCAATAGATTTAGCCTTACAAAAAAGGGGAAAATAGATTTTTATTTTTCGTACTGTATGTTTTTGATTGGTTGAAAATATGATTTAATGAAAAGGTTAATGGGGAAAGTTGCATCAGATAAGTGCCATAAATGGGTGTTCAAAGAATCAGCAGAATGTGAGCCCAATGTATCCAATTATTGGCAGAGTTCTTTTGATGCTGTATGTTTATCTTTCACTGCTTCTTTTTGTTGTTAAAATCTTAATTGTTGGTTAAATGCTGTGTTGTTATTTAATTTGCAGCTTCCTCCTGAATGGACTGATCAATTTGACTCTGGGATTCAGGTCTGCACAGTAACTAATTGTTCTTCACTGCTAGTTTTTTTTTCTGGTTTATTTTTGTCTATCTTACTCGGACTCAGCGTAAGATTCTGATACGGGTATATTTAGTTTCCTCTAAGATTTCCATGTCGATATACATATACATATACATATACATAATTGTGTTCGGCATTTACGCTAAAGTTCGAGTAACATATGTTTTTATGTCGGTCATTGGGACATTGGTGATTCTTGATTTTGTCTTGACCAGACAATTGCTGTTATTCAAGCTGGCCATGGCCTTCTCCAGTTGGGTTCCTGCAAGATTGTGAGTCTGATAATTAAAGTTTTCCATTAGTGATGATGGTTGTAATATATGATGTTTCTTACATATATGTGTGTTGTATGTATGTATGTATTATTCAGATACCTGAAGATCTTCATTTTGTGCTAAGAATGAGGCATACCTTCGAATCTCTTGGCTATCAATCTGGTTTCTATGTCTCTCAGACGTTTCCGTCGAATAGGAACGGTTCATCGTCGTCTATAGTTCCTTCAAATCAGTCTGCCATTCCGTCCTGGCCTCCTCCGCCTTCAGTCTTCAGCTGGAACCAGAGGCCGCTTCCACCAGCAGCTCCAATGGTTGGTTCGCCTAATTATCAGAACCTGGCTAGGGTCAGATTTCCACAGGCCAAAGACGAGACCAACATGTTTCTCATGCCTCGTTCATCTGAAGCCAGAATGAAAGATGTGATGAATGAACAGGAAAGTGACGTCAAATGGCCTAATGGTTTGAGTTTCTTCAACTCTCTCACCGGACGGAGAGAAGACGCCGACCTTTTAGTTAACCTGGAGAGTTTAGGAGCCAAACCGGACCTGGACCACCATCCCCTTATTGTTGAAGGAAAAGATAATCAGAATTTGGATGCCGATGTGAACCATACCGAGTTATTGAGCTTGGATAGTCATCCGGAGAATATAAGGAAGAGGGAAAACAAGTTTAAGAGGAGCTTTACATTACCTGCAAGAATGGCCACGTCTTCTTCTTCGACGTTGTTAGATCATCATCAGCACCAACTGGGGGAGTTTTGGAACTCTGATGCAGGGATGTATGGCGATGCCATGGATACCTTCTTGAAATGAAGGGTTGTATTAGAGGGAGGTTTTATATTTTCGCAAAAGGATTTGTGCTATTTAGTTGCTGAACTTATGTGCTTGCTTTTATGTTCTTTTAAATTCGCTACTTTGATCCATTGGAATCAAACTTTCTAATCTTTTGTGGTTTAGCCTAATATCCTACTCTAATATTGAACCCTAAAATTCTTAACCTATAAGAATGAACAAAATTTAAAAAAAAATTAATATAATTTAAAAATAATTATAATTAAAATATTAAGGAGAATTGATCTAATGATAGAATGGTTTCATGGATCCAAGGCAAGTCAACAAGATTCATTTGAAACAATGTTATATCCTGAGCAAGCATGGGTTACTTGAGTTGCAAACATGAGATTCCTCCTAACAAAACATTGAAGATCTTAATGATCTTGTCTGAACGAAGAAAATGTCTTGACTGTCGACTTGCACCCTGCATGAAACTTGGATCCATATCCATTTGCGTTTCTTTATTTGAATAATGAAGTTTGCAAATGAATGTTTCATTTCTTACCAAGCAGAATTTAACAAAACCCAGATTTTTTAGAAGCCAGTTCAATGTTTTTGTTTACAATTAACGGAAATTAAGATATAAAATTAAAAGAAATTAAAGGATATAAAAGTTTAACCCGGATTCGATTAGTTTGAATTTATAAATATATAAAATTAAAAGGAAAATAGAGAAATAGAAAACTTAATTTGATTGAAAGTTCTATTCTATTTTATGTTGTTTATCCAAACAAGTTTTATTTATAATCAAGCAAATGTCTCTATAAATAGATACTAGGATTAGGATTAGAAGTCAAGTTGTTCATGTGATTCTTCTTATATTCTTCTATTTCTGACATTAGTGAAAATTTTGCTTAAAATATGAAATTTTGATGTTGATCGCAACACTAAATTCACATTGTTGCAAGTGAAGGTATGAAAATTTACAAGAATTCTCCATTTGTGATGAAATGGTAGAAAAAAACTACTAAGTTTTATGTTTTGTCAGATTCAACAATTGCCGAAGATAAAATTGTTATTTTCTCCTTCATATTAGATGACAATGTTATTGGTGAAATCGCTTTGATTGAATAAAGTAAATGAGAATTATGTATTGGACCAAACAATTGAGAGTATAATAGTTCTTAAAAGCAGGAAAAATAAATAAATTTTGTGAGTATAATGAAATTGAGAAAAAGAAGAGTCCAATTCTTCACATAGATTAATAACAAAAAAGATAAAATTGACGTTGATGATCAGAATTGTGTTGTGCATGATATTACTTATAGTGATATGACTGTGAGCAAAGTTGATACTTATGATGACGTTACTTATGATAAGACTAAATCTAAACTTGAGAAAGACTTGGATTCAGTTGGCAATCATTGTTGAAGAATATCTCTTTAAGGAGTTTCGTGGAAAAAGTGGGGAACTTGATCGTCAAAGTGAAAAATTGATTTTTTGTTGAGTTTAATTATTCCGTCGAATTTGAGATTTTCCCCCTTAACTCCTTTCACTTTCATAATTTGTGTCAATATGGAGATGGTTAGAGTTCAATTCGAATTCGATAATACTCAAATTAACTAAGATGCAAAATTAACAGAAAATTGGAAAAATATAGAAAATCTAGTTTGATTGTAAGTAGGGACTTTATTCTATTTTATATTGATTAAAAGTTGAAAATCTTGTTTGAGTATATTTCTAGAACAAGTTTTTATTGTAACCAATTAATTGTCACTATAAATAAATATTAAAGATTATATTTAGAAGTCAAGCTGTTCATAGGTTTCCTCTTGTATTCTTCTATTTTCGATGTTAATAAAAATTCTCTTTTCTTTTCCTGTATTTTTTTAAAAGATTTTTTCACATAAAATCTTAATATTTATTTTATTATACAATCATTATATATATCGTTATATTCTAATATGTTTTCATATAATTGAAATCCGAATCGAACTGATTCAATCCAAACCTAGTTGGGCTTCTTAGACCATTTTTCTGGTCCTTTGGGTAGTGTTGGACTGAAACCGAAAGAACTAAAGGCTATTTAAAGTGTATCTGAATCATGCACTCAGGGCAAGGTCATATTCCAGGTATTATTGTAGAGGAAGTGTATCTAAAGTCGTCAAAACTAAAGTTGCGATCTAAGTTAGTTCAAAATAATCATGACGAAGCTTTGAAAACTAAGAGGCCAACAAAGAGGAAATGGCGAAACTTTAAAAGAGTTATAGATGTTAAAAATAATAATAATACTTGCAACACAGTGTACGAGACTACTGACAGATAGTTGGACTTACAGAAGTCAACTTATGCTGGAACAGATTAATCATCCCGGATAATCCTAGGATCTAGCGATGAATTTGAACGACAGAAAATCTCGGAGAAAGCCAGAACGAAAGTACTTATTTATTTTCTTTCTAGTTGGCAAGAAGTATTTCATCAAAATTCCAAACAAAATGATGTTCATAGCAGAAAATCCTCACAAGTCAATCAAGAAATATATATATATATATATATATTAATATGCATTCATATGTTATTCTTGTTTCTTGGAAGGTTCCATAGCATGACATTCTCTACAGGCCAACAAAAACAGGCTGAAAAACCTCAGGCAAGGTTCCGATCTTCCCTTAGTGGCAGTCCTTTGTTGTTGATGATCACCTTGTTTCTTGCCTCTCAAGGCATCTTTCCTCTCCACCCCACTATTCTTCCTCCTGGAAGCCTCGCGTTTCAGAACAGGCACCGCCGTAATGTACTGCCATCTCTGAGCATCCCCATATAGCTGAGCTGTTACCATTTTACTCGCTTTATTACATGCATGGATCTTGCTATGGCACAGCAACCTCCTCTCTGAATTGTCGCTCGAGCTCGTCCGTGCGCTGCTGCAACTGCTCCTGCTGTTCGTGCTGTTACTTCTGGAAGACATCAACGAATCCTTGCTGTTGATGCTGCTCGTTCTGCTCGTCTCACGAGAACTACGACCACTCGCGACGACTGCAGTAGTCGCTGCAGGTGGTAAAGGAAAGGCATGTGGCAAGAGTCGGCCGTTGCAGAAAAGATGATCTGCCGGTGAGGTCCTATATAGATCTTGAGAAGGCGAATCCGGGGTAAAACACCCAAATTCGAACTCCGAATCCAGCTCTTCGTTCTGGGTGATAGGGAAGGAGAATATCTCACCGGAACTCGACCTTTTCCTAAGAGTTTCCATGAAAAAGATGTTAAATTTTACAATAATTTGATGATTCCTCTATTGTTGTTGAAAGTTTGGAGAAGTGCATGAGTAAGCTTGTATACTTATACCTAAACCAAGTTGATGAATAAATTGATAGTATGATAGCTAGGAACAAGGTGAGAGAATCATGTGTTATGTCGAGATGGGGCAGCTCTTGGGGGTCCCGTTGTTGGGTGATTTTGATAAGTTTTGTGTTGGTGTTCATTTCTTGCCAACCCAACCTTAATGTACCACATGGGAGAGCTTAGTATTGTAATAATATCTTTGAATGTGGGATTTTCCCAAGTGTGTGTCTTAAATGATTAAATGATTCAAATGTAGGGTCTTTTTGCATCTTTGACCAAAGCTTAAGATCTCCCAAAATAATCTAAATTCTATAAAGATCGAGTCTTAAGTGTGTGATACATATAATAATACATGTTTTTATTTTTTTAGCATAAACTTGAAAGGTTAAAACCCAAATCTCATCTATCCTTTTTAGTTGAGATGAGAGTGTATTTGGGGTAAAGCAATGTATTTCAATATGCGTATATATGTATGTATGTATAGAGTAACCAACTTCATTGTTTCAATATACCTTACAAGCAATTGTAAGAAAACCATGGTGACATTTAGATGAATACGAATAATTGATCTTTTTATTTAAGACATTCGGTGTTTGATAGTCACATAAACCCTAATGATATCTAAAGATAAATTGATTTTTTTTAATACCATTTTTCCATTCACAAGACTTGAACATACGTTGATGTTAATTCATCATCTTGTTTGTGCTTTATGATTGCCAAACATGAGTTTGATATTAAAATTTATAGTCATTTTGCTTTATGATAATCAAAGTTTGGGCAAATGGGGTGGCGTGGCATTCTCTTTAGCCTTTGTGCATCAACTTGCTTTAGTTTTTGACACAGCCTCCCAAAAATTCTCTTCCATATAAAGCAAGGAGAGCTTTTTAGACCATAGAGATTGAGTCATTGGCTACTTGATTTTCCCCACACAATTGCTTAAAAAATTGTTCCAACTTAGTGTTAATAAGTACTTATTTGATAGTTTAGGCTCTCTCAAGCCTAGAAACGAGGACAAAACACAAAGAGGTCCTTAAATAATTAGCCTTGTCTCCCATTTGGGTTTCGTTGGAGGAACTTTTGGGGTCCATTTGAGGTCATCATGCCTTTGGGACCACCAGCATTCAGCCTAGTTTCGGTCTCCTACTTTTCTTTAAGCCACCGCAGGCTGCAAGCCATTGCCTAGTACTTTTGTTTTCCCTTTGTTGACACCCTTAAATCTTTAGCTTAAAGGATATGGAGATGGTTGAGTCCTTATATTTAGAGGGGTGGGTTTAAGTTGACTCTTTGAGCTAACTTTTGACTTGGGCACCTTCCTCATTGTTTATTCAATGGGCTTTGGTTTGGACTGTGTTTAGTGTTTTGAACTCATATTAAGGCTTCCCTAATAGTATAATGGGTGGGTTCTTTCCTTCTATTAGGAGCCCAATTGGATTACATATAAAATGTATCAATAAAATTTTTATTAGTTTAACGATCAACTTAGAAGTTAAAGTTTATTTGGATTTAATATAAAAAAAATTTAGAACACAAATCATTTAGATGTTTGTTGATGGAATAAATGGGTTATGATGATTATAGACGATTCATCTCTTTTGATCGGGATAGAGAATTGTAATTGGTGATTGGACGACGGTCATTGGCCAATGTTAGAATATTTTATCTTCAAAGGTAGAAGAGGAGAACAAATGTAAGAGATGATTCCAATCTTTCTCTCGGTATTAATTGAGAGACATTATAACAACTCTTAATCCTGCTATTAGATGTATGATTGTTATGACAACTCATATGTTAACAAACTAAGTGGATATGATCACCTAATAGTAGATTTAACTCTGATAAATCATGTGGATCTATAAGAGTTCGTGTCAAGAGATTCTTTTGTGATTTTATAGAGTCCCTAAAGTACATAAAAGATCAAAGATTCGAATATGATCTTGAATCCTCTTATGGCTTTGAGATGAAGAAATACTAAAATACAAATTAAATTTTAAATATTTATATACTTGTTATATAGACTACTTGAATATAACATGTTAAAAATATATTTAGTGTCATTAACCTTCTTTGAAGATGAAATTAAAATGTTCTAAAATTTGAGAACTAATTTAAAATTTGGTCCATTGTTTAGGGACGCCTAATAGAAATGATACCCAGCGCAAAAATAAGAAGATTTGCATGAATGTCTCGAAAGTTTAACCCTCACGGAATGGAGAAGAAAAGTAAAGGCAGCGTGTCAACAGTTGGGTATACTTCAACAAACACCTGTCTCCCTCATTTACTTCCACAACCATCTTCTTTGCTTCCTCATCATCTTGTTTCCTGTCGTTTTCCCCTTCCCTTCACCACTTATTAGATTTGATATAATATATATATCTATATATACATGCACATACAAGTTCCTTCCATTTTCGAAAGCTATGAGTAGTGGCAAAGAAATCCTTCATAAGATGAAGGTATTTTGACTATTTTCTCTTAACTTACCATCATTATCATCTCTATGCTTTGTCTTGACTATACATATTCATCTGTTTATATGTTTATTGCAGGAAAAAGTTGGCTTAGGTTCCAGTACAGGTGAATCTGGGAAAGGAAAGAGCAAGATCTCCAAGAACATAAAACATGGTTATCATTTAGTGGAGGGGAAATCCCATCATCCCATGGAAGATTATGTTGTTGCTGAGTTTAAGCATGTTGGCAACTGCGAGCTTGGTTTATTTGCTATATTTGATGGTCATCTGAGCCAAGTAATTCCTGATTATTTGAGGTCACATTTGTTTGATAATATCTTGAACGAGGTAATAATGTCATCAATGTGCAAACTGGTGTTCCATGGTCGTTGATCTTTTGTTAAAGTATGCTCCTGATTAGATTGTGTTCCTTTGTTTTACAAGCAGCCTGACTTTTGGATAGAACCGGAGAATGCGATACGGAAGGGTTATCGAATAACCGATAAAGATATATTGGAAAAAGCAATCGATTTAGGCCGAGGGGGTTCCACTGCAGTGACTGCAATTTTGATCAATGGCGAGAAGCTGGTAATAGCGAATGTAGGTGATTCTCGGGCTGTTATCTGCAAGGGTGGTGAGGCTAAACAGCTCTCGGTTGATCACGAACCGACCATGGAAAAGGAGATCATTGAAAATCGAGGCGGTTTCGTTTCGAACTTTCCAGGTAACGAATACGGATGATCATAAACTGCATTAACAAATTGATCATGATATAAAAGCTGCAAGTTTTGTTGTCATTGCAGGGGACGTCGCGCGAGTTGACGGGCAGTTGGCTGTGGCGAGGGCATTCGGCGACAAGAACTTAAAGGAACATCTTAGTTCCGAGCCGGACATCACCGTGGAAATCATCGATGATGATACAGAGTTACTGATATTGGCAAGTGATGGTTTATGGAAGGTTGGCAAGGGCCCTATCTAAATATGATTTCGCCCAAGATTGAACTGTTTGATTTATTTCCTTTGATACGATTGCAGGTAATGACGAACCAAGAAGCGGTCGATGCGATCAGGAACATTAAGGATGCTCGGTCCGCAGCCAAGTACCTAACAGAGGAAGCTGTTAATAGGAACAGCACGGATGACATTTCGTGCATTGTCGTAAGATTTTAGTGATTTTAAGTTTGGCAATTGTGTCCTGCTTTCATTTGATAACACAACTCTTTCCCAATAATGTGCAAGCACCTTTGTTATATTAATAGAATATTATATTAGATGTTGTGCTTTATGTATCTGCCTAATTGCTTTGAACTTGCTTGTTCGATCTTTTGCTTCAGATAAATGATCAGATTTGTACATGATATTTGATAGTAATCCTTTGAATATTTAAGACATGTATCTTACAAGTCTTTGTACACCGCAGACGCTGCTTTCCAATTTGGTTCTTGTATTTGATATGTACTACATGTGTAATATTTTTTTTTGGGAGAGAATCCGTAAAACTGAACAAAATATTTTCTTATTTATGTTTATTATCATGTCACTCTGTCATGCTAACATCTCAGTTTTCAGTAATATTTACAACAATATTCACCTCTCGGAATGTGTCACATACTCTTTACTTGAATACAACTGCTATAGGAAATTATATAGCATATGATCATTGATAAAATAGTAGACTCCATAGATAGAGTTGCAGGTACAGAGAGCTTAGATTCGACGACAAGGCAAGCTTCCGAAGAGAGGGAGCATGGTGATCGCAGGTTTTGGTCTTTAAGCTCCTTATCTGATTTGAGAATTCTTAAAAGATGAACTCCAGCTCTTTGATCATCGGCCTGCCTGCAATGACTCTTTCAACTGTGGACTCGTCCCTTTGCGACTCAAACCTTCTGCAGATGATTCAGCCGAATGCCTGTCGTTGAGTCCATCCAACCTACTCCGACAGCTCCTTTTCGCCTCATCAAACTCTGATAGCTCATGGATCTTGTGAAAATATACCACGATGACAGAAAATTTCTGACCTGTTTACTTGTAGGTCAAGCAATTAGCATTTTAAGTATCAATAGAATTAAATAAACAATCAAACAATAAACAAAGTCCAAAACCTGCTGCATTGCAGACAGAAACCTTGCTTGATTCCAGCAACAACCGCAACCGGACCCTCTCCTTTCTGAAGCATTCTTCTTCTAATCATCAGGGAAACCATGATAACCTACGGTTCCCTCTTCTTCGTCGTCCTCCTCCATTGACAAACTAAACTGGTTCAAAATTTGGGTGATCATGTATGTTGGTGACAGACTCTTGAGAGACATATTAAGAAAAGGGTCATTGAAATGACTACTGGCAAAGTAACCAATTGTGTGTGACTGTTTGAGTGGGACAAAGCTTTTTAGAGTATCAGAGTGCATGATTAAACAAGAATGGGACCAAAATGGACCAAAATGGACCTAGCAATCTATAGTTCTATACCATATAGACATTCAATTTCCTATTATATGTCATATAGGATCATAGGAAACATCAACATTCCTATTGTGAATAAGACGACTCCATTGTCTCTTGAACAATCATGAAGGAAAAAAAGAAAAGGGGGGGGGGGCTCAACTAATGTCAAATTTCAATTCCAATTGAAATTTCTCGCACACTATAAAAAATAAAAAACCCAAAACCACCATTGAAAAAAAATTATTGAACCACTTTATATAATGTTTTGATATAACAATTTAAGCCAAAATAATTTTCGACTTGAATTGAATTTATTCAAAGTTTTCAAAATAATTTAAAGTCAATTAAAAGTGAATTTGAGCACAAAAGTGATTTTCTCGTACGTAATACTGATATTGTTCTTACATTATCGACATTATATGAACAATACTGATACTTTTCATGTGGTATCAATAGCCTAGATAAGAGAAGTATCGATACACTCTAGTTAGTACAGATACTATCATCTCAAGCTCAACTAATGTCAAATTTCAATTCCAATTGAAATTTCTCGCACACTATAAAAAATAAAAAACCCAAAACCACCATTGAAAAAAAATTATTGAACCACTTTATATAATGTTTTGATATAACAATTTAAGCCAAAATAATTTTCGACTTGAATTGAATTTATTCAAAGTTTTCAAAAATAATTTAAAGTCAATTAAAAGTGAATTTGAGCACAAAAGTGATTTTCTCGTACGTAATACTGATATTGTTCTTACATTATCGACATTATATGAACAATACTGATACTTTTCATGTGGTATCAATAGCCTAGATAAGAGAAGTATCGATACACTCTAGTTAGTACAGATACTATCATCTCAAATTCCAGAATGCAAAAATGGTATCGATACCCAAAGGGGTACCAATACTACTTTACATAGGAGTATCGATACCGTCAGGCCCAACGACTAGTTTTATTTAAAAATAATAAAGGTAGTACCGATACTCCCTATAGGAGTACCGATACTCTCTGTACTTGCAGTTTTATTTTGTAGAGAAAAACATCCCCAACGGCTCCAAATCACTCCCAACGACTAGAATCGACCACAAACTCATTCCAACATATATATACAAGTTCAAGACACTTGAAGAAGGGTTAGAACTTTTCACTCTTTATTCCTATTCTCTTGTAAATATTTTGTTCTTGTGAGCTTTGATTCTTTGTAAACACATTCCTTTTTGAAGTTTTCTTTGTTTACATCTTTTTCCTTGTAAAGAGGTTTTGGTTCTAGCCGAGCCTTTGAAAAGCTAGGGAGTCTTGTAAATGTTATCTCTTTGTCCTTGAAAAAGAAAGAACAAATTAGTGGATTTGTTGGAAAATCCTTAGTGATGAGCTAAGATAGTGGAGGTAGACTTAGTTGAGAAGCCGAACCATTATAATTCGTTGTGCCTATTGTTTATCTTTTCTTTATCCTTACTCCCTATACAATTTTTTCCAATTCACCCCTTGTACAATTTTTGGTTGTCCAATATGAGCTTCAAAAATCCCAACAAAAATGTTGGTGAAAGTGTTTGAAATGGTACAATGATCAAACAATGTTACATTCATTCCAAGTTTAGGGACTGCAAAACAATTTTACCATTATATTAGCTTACCTTTTTTTCATAGTCAATCCCTCTTTAGTGTGAAAAAATGAAATGTGACCTAAATTAATAATCTTAAGGGTAAAGTATGTAAATAGTCTCCAACTTTTAGGACACTTGCATTTTGGTCACCTAACTTTTGAAACTTTCAATACAATCATCGAACTTTTAGTTCATTTTCAAGAAGGTCTCTATAGTTATCTCCCGTTAGTTTTTGCTGATGTGGCACCTAACCCTTGTCAAACCCCATTAACCCACTTCTTCTTTCTCATCTTCTCCTTCTCCTTCTCTCACACCTTTGGTCACCTCACCTTCGGTCAGCGGTGGCTTATACTATCATCACCATCATCATTGGCGTCACCTCTTGACCACACCCTTGATTCATACTCATCGTCCACCGTTTTTCCTAAATTGGGAGAAGACCGTTCAAACACTCATCCCTGATCTCTATCGTCAGTTGTCTATAACCGTCACCACTAGTACCAGTAGGAGCGCTGCCTATCCCGACAAAATTCCCGTTAGCCACTTGTCGAGACTCACCTCCGTTCGTCGTGGAGAGGGTAACGAATCTCGTGAGAAAACCCCAACACCCATTTGATGTTTTCATTGATTTTTGACCAATTTGGATGTCCATTCGCCACATTGCCACCACCGTTGGAGTCTTCACACCGTTTCGACCAAAACCCAGTCAGTCGTGCCTCGTTGTCGTCGTCCCTCCTCCGTCTGTCGTTGGTTAAGAAGAAGGAGAAGAAGAAGAGGGTTAACAAAAACTAACGGGAGGTAACAACAAAGATCTTATTGAAAACGAACTTAAAGTTTAATGATTGTATTACAAGTTTCAAAAGTTTAATGACTAAAATGCAATCGCCCTAGAAATTTGGGAACTGTTTATATATTTTACCCTAATTTTAATTGAATCTAAGATTTAAACTAGAAACTTTTGACACAGATAATCAAACATTTCTTAAAATTATATGGTTAAACATTTCTTAATTGCCTCTATCATCTAAATCCGGGTCCATTAATGTTTTATGGGCCAAACAATAATAGGTCCATTATATGGTGAAACTGTTAGCTTAACAAGTTTTAAAAAAGATGATAAAAAATATATATTTTGGTCCTCCAAAATAATAATTTTTCAAATTATATTTTAGCCCTTCAAAGTTTTATAATTTTCTTATCTCCCCTTAGAAGTTTCTGGCTTCCCCCTAATCTAACTGGTCGTTGAAACGCAAGGTCAATACAAACACTAATTTGAGAATTTTTCCAAATTCATCTTAAATAGTTCAAACAAATTTAAGTAACAAATTGAGAAAAAAATCATCTCTTCTTCCCTTCAACGTTTCGTTTCCAAAGGCCAACTTTCCCAGGTAAAAAAGCTTGCTTCTTTATTTCATCTTCCTTGTATGGGGTTTTTCAAGTTATATATATACGTGTGTGTGTGTGTTTGCATATGTTGATGATCAAAACTTCTAATCCGATTGAGAATCTAGATTGGGTTTGAGTTAAAACAGGTTGAAGAGATAGCAAAACAGATAACAAGGGTTGATCTTGGTTAGAGCTTGTGTTTGGGCTTTGGTTTGCAAATTTGAGAAATTTGTAGCTCTAGTAGTTGATGGAAGGCTTGAGTGGTTGAACTTTTGATGAAATTCAGTGTAAATTTTGTAGAGGAATAGGCTGCCTATGGGACTGGTATTAATTGAAGTTGTTTTGAGGTTTAAATGAAACGGTTGCATTGGGTGTGGCTAGTAATTACTTTTGGTCTGGTATTGTATTTAATTTAACAATCACATGAAGTCATAGTTTCGCCATGAAAATCGCCCTTGGGTGTGGTGAAACAGGGCAATCTTGCCTGCAATCCTGCTATTTGGAGGCATAAAGTTGTACTTTTGAAACATTTAGGTCAAAGCATTTATGTTAAGTGTTAACCAGAAAGTGTTAGTGTTGCCTCAAAAATATGGTTGCTGGTTTTCCATAGTTCTTTATTCCTTTTTCTAGTCATATGAACCGAAATAAGTTCCCAGCAAACCCTTTTTCTGTGATGGAACTCGGATGCTAGAGTTGGAAACATTTATGTTCAATCTTTTTCTATATTTCTCCACGTAAGTGGGGGTCCTTGGAGGGTCCTATTCCCATACGGGTACTTAAGAAAAATGTCGAGTTGGAGCAACATAGCCTTTTCTTTCTAATTTACCATTATAGATTAGGCCTATCTCCTTTTATTGATGTTTCTTATGCATTTTCTGATAAACCTGATAATTGAACGTTGTGGCAAAACCCAACAAGGAGAATAAGAGGACATGGGCATTGACGAAATGTTAGTTTTCATTACTTAATTATTTCGATTGACAGACTGCTTGTACTGAAGCTTTGAAACATATTGAATGTACTTAAAATATAGAACACTTGAGATCGGCTGATTTCATTGTCGAAGCAATTGTGGAATCAAAAGATGTGAAGAAAAAGCTGTTCATCGAACTGGATAAGATCGCAAAGTGTTCGGCCATTTTAGCATCTAATACAAGTTCCATCTCCATTACTCGGTTCGCGTCCGAAACCAGCAGACAACACCAGGTTTTATTTGGAGCCATGTTTTGGACATTTTGATACAAGTGACTATCGCATGCAAAATCACATCACGTTGTTGAGATTGAAGCGGACACGTGCAGGTCATTGGAATGCATTTCATGAATCCTCCTCCAGTAATGAAGTTGGTTGAGATTGTTCGAGGTGCAGACACATCAGATGAAACATTTCATGTGACGAAAGCATTGGCGGAGAGGTAATGTTTGATTAAAGAACTCCTGTGAAAAAGAAACATTAATAACTTCTTTCAACTAGCTTTATTGCCTTTTGCATGTGGTAGCTAGCTAGCATTGTCGTCTCTGTTCCAAGTTGCAAATTTCAATTGGATCTGATGATAACCAGTATGCTCTCAGGACTATCCCGGCTTTATCGTGAATCGAATCCTTAAGGCAATGATAAATGAAGCATTCTTCACCCTTTATACTGGGGTGGCCACCAAGGAAGATATTGACACAGGAAAGAAGTTAGGGACAAACCATCCCATGGGTCCCTTGGAGCTTGCAGATTTCATAGAACTTGATGTGTGTTATCTGTTATTGAAGTTCTACATACTGGTCTAGGTGACAATAAGTATGCCCCTTACCCTCTTCTTGTGCATTACGTCGGTGCCAGTTGTGTTGGGAGAAAATGTGGTATCGGGGTATACAATCACCATAAACCATCTCCTCGGCTCTGAATTTATCTTATTTAATGGTAATTCTGCAAATTGCATATGCATGTGTCCCCTATGTTGCTTGCCAGCTCAGAAACCTTTAGTATAAGGCAAGGAACATTAAAAGAAAACCCTCCTTTTTCCTCACAAATGATGGCCAAGGTGACCCACAGGGAGGAAACCCCAAACCCTACCAGAGACTATGAAATTCATCCATTGTTTCCGTAACCCTAAAGTTGGCATTATTAGGCACCATCTTTACTTTATTGAAAGTGATTGAATTGGAATCCAATAAGGGTTGATTATTACACACCCCATAAAAAAGGACTTTTAGGACATATTTTGAAACCAAAAACAAAACAGATATGAAGTTCTTGTTCCAGTGTCCTTGCTGTTCTTGTTTCTGCTTCGTGAAGCCTAAGCAAGGGAAACCAAAGGTGAAGGATGCTCCGAAGGTGGAGAAAGAGAAGGAAGTGAAGGCTGACAAGGCAGAGTAAATTCTGTTTCTTTACTTTCTTCTTCTTCTCTGCTGCTGCTACTCAAGTAAATTGTATGTAATAACTTTTCTTAAATTTATCCGAGTTTGCATGAAAATGTTGTGCAAATGTTTTCATCTTTGTATTCCGATTCGATTTTATGTTCTGCAAGTGTTGCCTGTCTTGTAGATTTGTATCATAACGATGAACGATAAATCTGTTTTGTTCTGATTTTATCAGATGTCATTAAAAGAATGACCAGATCTGCTTGTATTACCAACATTTTCCTGAGAACTCAAGCATTCATTAGGTTCGAGTTTGTTGTTACGACATTGTGGTTTATCTTGTAAGTAGGGAAGCCATCTAGTTCAATGGAGCTCAACTCAAAATTCGACATTTAGAGCTTGGATCGAATTCGATTGATTATCATTTTTAAGATTCAAACTTAATTTGATATCACAAATTAACTACTGGAGTATGAAGTCTGGAATTTCGTAGTTTCATTTCATGCTTCAAATTAGGTCAAGAACTGTGAACAAAAAGAAAAAGACACAAGCATGTGATGTAAGAGACAAGAGATCATGCAAAAATATGTCAGTATTTTATATTAGGAGGGACGAATTTATAATTTTAAGTAAAAAAAAACGTGCAAAATTTCAGGGAGGCAAAAACATAATTTTAATATAAAATACAAAGAAAATATTTAAAATATATAAGAATTTGATTTTTTTAGGTAGCAATCTCCTGTATCCGTCTTCTCTAGGTCCATCATGGCCCACACAAACAAAGTTCAATTTTTTCTCGATTAGTCAGGAAATTTTAAAATACAACTTGTTAATATAATGTTAAAAATGATAAAATTAATTATAATAATTTTTTTTATTAAGAGTGTAATTTTTTAGGTTGAATAGAGTAACTTCTTAAGTTAAATAGAGTAATTTTTTAGATTGGACATGTTGCAACTGAAACTGTTATATTCTTAATAACATTTTCGGATATAAGCCTTAAACCACTGCAATATAATTTTTTGGATTGTAATCGAAAATAGTATAAATTTATATAATTTTTTAGATTGAAAATAATAATAATATTGTAGATCAAAATTGTCTTAAATTAATTTTAAATTAAATTGTCTTATCGTATAACTACTAAATTTGTAGCCATGATTTCTTTGGCAATTTTGAAAGTTAGAGAGTGAGATTGTCGGTTTGGTTATAATTTTTTTTTAAAAATATAATAATCAAATTAATTAGAAATGGCAAAGGTCAAATTGCTTTACGGGTTTTGCACCGATTTATTTTAAATGGGGTGATTTTTTTGTAGAAAAAAAGGTACATAATGGAGTAGGGTGTGTAGGATAATTGTGATATATGTTTGCTTCGTTCTGTCCTGTTTCGATTTTTAAAATTATTATTTTATCTATTTATAATATTTTATATATCATGTTAATATTTTATATATATCATGTTAATATTATCTTCTTAAATATAACTTTTCTGGTAAAATTGTCATTTTATCCCTAACTTTTCTACAATTTAGTTTAAATATCTCAACCCATATAATCCAATATTATTACATACTATAATAATAAAATTAATAATTGATATTTAATCATTTATAAATATCGAAATAAATCAAAATTTGATATAGAAGATTTAGGGGCATTACAATTTTATGTTTTCATGGAATTAAATTTGCGCCAATTCATTAAGTTAAAAAACTTATATTTTTTATTGACGATAATGAAAACAATTTTGTATTATTTTACACATTTCACTTATTTTCATTTTCTAAAAGAACCATTTTCTAACATAACACATTTTCTTTAATATTTCCTATTTTTTTGAAAAATCAATAATTGATCTAACGAGATAAGAAATTAAATTATTTAAATAAGGTCATGAATATAAATCTTAATATTGTAAATGAAATAAATTATATTAGAATTAATCGTCACAATAATAAAACCAAGACATTAAAAGTTTACAACAACTTTTATTAAATGTTATCTTCTAGGTGAAAATTAGAAAAAGCTGAAGCTGGGTAAGATTTCAACCCAAGATCATTAAAAGCGAATAAGAATACATTACTATTAAAACAAGTCTAATGTTCAAAAGAAACTGACAATATATTATATATAGATTTAATTATAATTGACAAATTTTAATATAATAGTATGTAATATTGTATTTTTATTTTAATAATATAGAATAAATTTTAAATATTTTTATGAAAATAATATATATTATTAAATATGTCGATAGTTTATTAAACTATGAAAATATATAATATTAGTTTAATCTTTTAAAAGCTATATTATTTATAAATTAAAATAATTATAAAATTACATTTTCATCTTTAAACTTTGATAACCTAAATTTAGTTCTTTCTAACTTCACTAAAATTCTTATAAAATATTTTAAATTTTAATATTTATTCAAATTTTTTAATAATTAATAATATATATATACTCTAATAAATATAACTGCTTCAACTTTATAGAATCAGTTGTAGCATGCATTAAATTTACACCATACCATCCATAGAGTAGAGCGGGCAGCTGGAGAGCAAAACCACCATTGATTTATTACTTTAAAAAATGTCTGTCCCTTTTTCCCATATATATAGGGTAAGGGAGAGGTAAGATAGTAGGCTACCCTCAACACCAGGGGAGAGCAGCTTCCGTAAGAGACCTCCGAATTATGAAATATCCTCTGTGGGACTCGATCCCACGACCTCAAGGTTAAGAACCTTGTGCTCTACCAACTGAGCTGGATGCTCGTTTCTTCATTGATTTATTACTTTAGATATACGTAATTACTAACACCCAATAACCTTGGCATGTCTTCCCTTAAAAAACAACAATTTCATTTGTTTATCGTCTTAAATTTGTTACAAATTCACTTTAGTATTTAGGGTATTTTCACTTTAATCATTCAACTTAAAAAATTTGTATTATAATCACTAAAATTTATTTTTGTTACGGTCACTATCGTTAGCTACCGTTAAAAAAATTGACATGAGATGTTAAAAAATCCTATAAAACCTAAGTTTCTTCTTCTAAATTGGCAATTATCGCTCCTCCTTTAGTCGCTTTTTTGTTTACTTTCTTTCTATCATCATCCACAACCACAACCATCAATAGCATAAACAATAAATAACAACAAACAAACAAAAAGAAGAAGAAGAAGAAGAAAACAAAGTAAAACTATTGATCTCAATTTTGGCAAGTTTTTAATGAACGTAGTGGTCACCTAACAGTGGAAGGCTCTGTTTTACATAAAAGGTTAATATAATTCAAGTTCAAACTAATTCGACGATTGAATATGGCAAATCAAAAGGTTTTAACTTTTAGTCTCAATTGAGATTTGAGGAGACTGAAAAAAAATTCAACGAATTTGAACCAAAAGAAAGAAATAGAAGAATAACATGAGTAATTTAGTGATCTTTTAGATCGAAGAAAAGCAGCGAACAATGAAGAACATAGAAATGAAATGAGAAGCAATGACTGCTAACATGAAAGAAGCTTATAATTTTTTAATGTGCTATCTCAATTTTTTTAACAATGATGATTATAATGAAAATGAATTAAAATTTTAATATAAGGTTTAAAAGTTCGGTGACCAAAGTGAAAATAATCTAAAGGTTTAGTGACCATCATTGTAATTTATGCTAAATCAATTTGACAACGTTAGTAAGAAGCGTAGGTATCAATATTAATAACATTTACTTTCTTGAGCTGCTACTACTACCCTAGAAGGCAAGAGAAGATCATAGAGATGTCACAAAGAAAATTATTTAGAATCAATGAGATTATGTTATCAAATATTGATATTCGTCACGAACGATGAAAATCAATCGTGGTGAAGGAAAGTTTTAGGCATGGAGGAGGTGAGGAAACAAGTGTTGTTCTCACTCCTGATGATTGTCTCTAACGTTTTATGTCAACTTTTTAATAGGGGTGACGTAATGAAAACATAATAAAAATTAATGATTATAATACAAGTTTTAAAAGTTGTAACCAAAGTGAAAATATCATAAAAGGACACTGATGAACAATGTAATTTACCCTAATAACAAGGGGAGAGTGTTACTGTTATTAATAAGCGTAGGTATCGAAAGTAATAAACATCTACTTTCTTCTCTTCTCTTTTAACCTTCCTTGAGCTACGACTAGTACCCTAGAAGGCAAAAGAAGAGCATAGAGATGTCACGAAAGAGAAGTTATTCAGAGGCGACGGAGACTCTGTTACCGGATGTCGACCGTGGAGACGAAGACGACGATCAATGGTGGTGGAGGAAAGTTTTGGACGTGGAGGAGGCGAGGAGACAAGTGTTGTTCTCACTCCCCATGATCGCATCTAACGTTTCGTTTTTGTCGATAACTTTGGTGTCTGTCATGTTTGCCGCTCACCTTGGGGAGCTCCAGCTTGCCGGTGCAACGCTTGCTAATTCTTGGGCAACTGTCACTGGCTTCGCTTTCATGGTTAGGACTTCATTTCTCAATATTCTATCAAATTATTTTCTTCATTTTTTTTCAATATAATTTCTCCTTTTATTTGATATATATATTAACTTAGAGTATGCAGTGTAGTTGGTTCAATCAAGACGACTATGATATACAAACTCAGTTTTGTTGGTGATTAAATAGGTTAAATCAATTATGAATTTTCATAATCAAATGGACTTTATATATATATATATATCTTTTTGAATTCATTTATAATACATAATATATAAATTTTTAACAAAACCCAAACCTACATTTTTTTTGAATTCATTTATAGTATGCTTATGTTTTGATTATTCAACAGTAAAATAAAATTAATTTGATTGTTAAACTTTCAAATTTAAATTTTTTAAGTCACTTGAACGTTAAGTCTAACATTGTAACGTTGAAGTCCAAAAATATTACATTTTTTTAATTTTTTTATTTATAAAATTAACTTATGTTTTAGTTTTTTTTCTTGACTGATATTTTTGGGTAAACTCTGCAAATAGTCCCATATATTTTTGGTCTGATCAACTTTAGTCACCAATTTAAATATTAAGGAGAAATGGTCCCTAATGTTATCAATCCATTTGATTTTAGTCCTTAATGTTAACGATCCATTTGATTTTAGTCCCTCAGCTGTTAACTCATGTTCAATTTCAATCCTTCAATCATGTTAGAGACTTAAACAAACGGGACATAAACATAAAGGGGTTAATGAAAATTAATAGCAAAGGGACTTAAACCGGACGAACCGATAATGTAAGAGACTATTTCTTCTCGGGTCGGGTGAAACATTAATTTTGTCGGGTCGGGTCGGGTCACGGGTGGAGAACCCTTTCTTCTCGGGTCGGGTCGGGTGGCCCAAAAACCCGACCCGACCCGACCCATTGCCATCCCTACTTGTCATTGACCCCATTTAGTACATTCCTTTGTGAATGAAATCTTTGATCTTCTCCCATTATGGTTCTAGACAGGATTAAGTGGAGCTTTAGAAACACTATGCGGCCAAGGATTCGGTGCAAAACTTTACCGAATGCTGGGGATTTACCTCCAATCATCGTGCATAATCTCATGCTTTTTCTCGATCATCATATCCATCTTATGGTTCTACACCGAGCCCATTCTCATTTTGCTTCAACAAGATGCCCAGATTGCAAAAACCGCCGCTCTCTACATCAAGTACCTAATTCCGGGCTTATTTGCCTACGGTTTCGTTCAAAACATCCTCAGATTTCTTCAGACGCAAAGCATTTTGCTGCCTCTGGTTTGGTTTTCGTTCATTCCGATGGGCATTCATATAGGCGTTGCTTTCGCTTTGGTGAATCGTACTGATCTGGGTTTCATGGGAGCTCCGTTGGCGGCTTCGATTTCACTGTGGATTTCGTTTCTTTCGTTATCGATTTATGTGTTCTTCGCTAAGGAATTTGACGAGACCTGGGAAGGGTTTTCGTTGGAATCGTTCAGTTGCGTTATTACGAACTTGAAGTTGTCCCTCCCTTCTGCCGCAATGGTTTGGTAAGTTGAGGGACTAGTTTCATAATTTTCATAAAGTATAAGGATTAGACTCGTAATTAAACCAGTTTTAGTTCCAAAATTTTGATTAAACTATTATAGCTTGAATCCTTACTAAATTGATCTTTCTCTTTTTCCCAGTTTAGAATACTGGGCTTTCGAGCTTCTTGTGTTGTGTGCAGGGTTGATGCCTAATTCAGAATTAAATACTTCATTGATTGCAATGTGGTAAGCAAAATATTCAGGGTTTGTTGCCAGTGGATTTTAATGACGAAGTAGATGCATTTGAATTTCGAAAATTATTAAGCTTTACGTGGTAATTTAAAGCTTTTGACATGGAAACTTTTTGCTCCCCCCCTCCCCCCTTTTTCAAAGTGTGAATACAGAAGCGATTGCCTACATGACAACTTATGGCCTCAGTGCTGCTGCAAGGTAAGTTAAATTATTATCTTTTGAGTTATTAATATTCCTCCATTTTGCCCAAGATTTATAAATTATATGACACAGCACAAGGGTTTCGAATGAGCTAGGAGCTGGGCATCCAACTCGGGCCAAGAACGCCATGGCTGTCACCCTCATGCTCTCGGTCCTTCTTGCACTTGTGATTGTCCTTGCTCTGGCATTTGGTCATCATATCTGGGCTGCTTCCTTTAGTATCAGTTCTTTAATTATCAACCAATTCGCTTCAATGACACCCTTTCTTTTAATCTCGATAACCATCGATTCTTTTCAAGGCGTCCTATCAGGTATGCTATAATTCGATTGTCATTAATGGTGAATTAAAAGCATAGTTTAAAAAATGATTATTGAAGATGAAAGTTCATAAATGTTGCAGGGGTGGCCAGAGGAAGTGGTTGGCAGCTATTGGCAGCATGGGTTAATATGGGGACTTTTTATTTCATTGGAATGCCAATTGCAGCTCTTCTTGCATTTAAATTCAAGCTTTATGCTAAGGTAATACATATTTTATCCTATTGGTCACTAAACTATGGGGTTGATTCTAGTCGGATCACTGAACAACAAGATTATCAATTTGGTCACTAATCTTTTCATTTAGTTTCAATCAAGCCACCACCCTGTTAGCATAATTGTTGACGTGGGAGAGAAGTAAATTTGTATAATAACACATTCGATTTTCATTACTTATGTCTTCTATACATTCATTAGATGTGTTATTATCCCAAGTATGATCAAATTGATAGAATGTGTCATTATACAAATTTTCTTAATTGTTATCAGCGATGTCAATAATTCCATTAACAATTAACGATCAATGGTTTAATTTAAATTAAATTGAAAGTTTAGTGTCTTAATTGATCATTCTTTTGCTGAAATGATCAAAATAGAATGAACCTTATATCTGACTGATTTGCGAAGCATTATAGCAGTTTGGTATCACTTTGAGTTGAGGGTTTTATCTCCATAATTGGCTATTAATTTACTCTAATGAAGTTATTTTCTTTTCAGGGTTTGTGGATAGGCTTAATATGTGGTCTCTCCTCCCAAGCTGGTGTCCTCCTATTAATCACTTTGTGTAGAAAATGGACAAAAATTGAAATTTCAGAAGAGAGTGATAGACAAACTAAAATTTCTGTTTAATTAATCTTCTAGTGAAAACTGAAAAATTATATTGTACTATCTACATTTTGGGCTATAAGAATGGGAATTTCATATGTTTTTTTTTCTTATTTAAGATTTATATTGGCTTAATACCCAAATAAGTTCTCAAACTATACCATTTTTCCCGAATAGGTGCCTACAATATTTTTTGGATCATTCATGTACTTAACGTTACAAACGTTACCACTTTAGGTGCTCGGGTCGTAACAACGTTAATTTTCTTCGTTAAGTGACACTTCACAATCTGATAATTTAAAAAAATAAAATTATATATTTTTTAAAAAGAAAACACATGAGGAGATGAACTTGTTTCAAAAGGATACGAGACAGGTTTTTATCAATGTGATTTTTTTAATTGTTTAGAGTGATTACAAGATAATATATGTTTAGAATTTTTTTAGTCATTAACAACGTACACACACTGCAAACACAATTATTTAAACTCGATATCTCTAAAGAGAACAACACTCTTTTCTATTATTGACGTCACTTAATATATTAAATTTATAATATATAATTAAAACTAAAAAATATTAACAAAGTTTACTGTTTCTGTCCATGTTCTTCAGAAAAACACCACCACATTAAAATGGAAGTTCAAATAATCTACTCAACCACATTAAAATGAAAATTTCAAAATATCTTAATCAATCACATTCATGAAATTTATTATTTTTTCTTTTATCGTTAACAAAGTAAAAATATTTTTCTCTTTTATGAGTTTGATTTGATTTTTCACCAACTTATAATTTCATTAAGTAGAATTTCTTAATCAAAATCTTTTTTTTTGGATAGGATTTCTTAATCTAAATCTAAGAACGCAGCAAAAAAAAAAAAGTCTCATACGACTTCACTCTAGACATAATAAAAAAAATTTGTGGCTTTACAATAATATTTATATATATACAAATACATCATTTATACTTTATCATAAATCTTATTATTTTTCGTTTATAATTTCTTTTCTAATGAAAAATTAGGATATTTTTTCTTATTTTCTTCAGGATTGGATTTGACGATTCCCTCTCTAATTAACATTTATTTAATTATATTTATCCATACTTCATTGATGGACACTTACAATCATTGAAGATATGTTACAATTCAGTGTTGATAAATTCAATTTGTCAATATACGTAATTGTTATATGTATTTTTATATTAGTGCTGATATTATTTATCATTTACTATCGATAATAATATTTATTTGTATATATTATTTTTTTAATCGTACACTCTTATAAATTTATTGTATTTTCTATCTCTCTCCTTGAATGGTTTTATTTTAATTTTTTTAGTAATTAATATATGTACTATGATAGTTTAAATAAAATGACCTGTTAATATAATTGATATCCTGTTACTTAAAATAATAAACATAAACACCCACGTAAATATATACCTCAAAAGGGCTTTCTAAAGCCGCAAACAGAGAGGTGTTATCATTAGCAGACAAGAAACTACAGGTTGGTTCTAATCGCAACTACAGATGACTACGAAGATGGATTGACGATGATAGAGGAAAATACCACCAACGCTCACCAAATCCAAGACCAGGTTTTGCAGCAAATACTGGAGAGGAATGCTGGGACTGAGTATCTAAGTCGATTCATCAATGGCCAGACTGGCAAGCAATGCTTCAAAACCAATGTTCCTATTGTCACTTATGAAGATGTTAAGCCCGACATCGATTGGATTGCCGACAGGGAGACATCCGCATCCTGGTAACCGAACCAGTCGTCGAGTTCCTTATGAGGTGCAAAATTATTGTCTCTTTTGTTTTATTATTTAAATTTTCTTGCTATGTTGCCTAGTTCGTACTAAGTCAATCCCTGTTTGATTATTTGCAGGACTGGAACTTCAGGAGGGTTGCCCAAGTTAATACCTGTGACGGCTGAATTTCATGATCAAACGGCTCTTTGTTTTACCCTCATGAGATCTGTGATGAACAAGTAAGAATTTAAATAAGGAAAAATATGTCCATATGATCCATGTCACTGTCATAGTTGAGCACAAACCAAAAACTGACTGGTTCATGTTTATTCAGACAATTTGGTTGCCTGGACAAACCCGGCAAAAGAATGCAAGTTTGGTTTGCCAAACCGGAGACTGAAACTACCGGAGGTTTCAAGGCAAGAACTTTTCTAACAAGTACGTTGAAGAATAGCTGGTTTACAACCAACGTTTCCAAGATTTGCACAAGCCCCTTTGAGATAATGTTTTGTTCGGACAACAAGCAGTGCATGTTCTGTCAATTACTACTTGGTTTAATACAGCGTGACGAGGTCATTTCGGTGGGCTCGACCTTTGCAATCGTTGTGCTAAGAGCTATCAAATTTTTAGAAGATCACTATGAAGAGTTATGCTCCAACGTAAAAACAGGTCGACTTAGGATTGGATCACTGATTCAGGCTGCAGAAATGCGGTCTCCTTGATCCTGAAGCCTAATCCTGAACTGGCCGATTTGATCCAAAACATATGTAGTTGTAAAGCATGGGAAGGAATACTCAAAAAGCTTTTGCCTAAAGCTAAGGTTATTGATGCCATTACTACAGGATCTATAAGCCAATACGTTGAAACACTTGAATTCTACAGCGGAGGGCTGCCTATAGTGTTGAATGTTCATATGTGCTCAGAAGTCATTTGTGGTATCAATTTAGAGCCTCTGAGCAAACCTTTTGATGTCTCTTACACGTTTCTCCCTAACATGGCTTACATAGAATTCCTCCCTGTCAACAAAGACGGTACGGCGATGTCTGAACAGAGTCAGTTTAACGGTGAACCTGTGGATCTTGTAAATGTGAGGCTTGGTCAATATTATGAGTTACTTGTCACAACTTTTGCGGGTAAAGTCTCACCATAATAACCTTAGTATGCGGTTGCGATGAACTTAAAAACCCTTAGGTGGCGTTTGATTCGCTAGAATGTTTATGAGGGAATTGAAATCTGTGAAGGAATTTGAATATGTAGGAATTAGAATTTGAATTTGAAACCTGTTTGGTTGGTACGAAATTGAATTAGAATCCAATTCCATATTCTATTTGGTTTGCAGACATGTCAGATGAATTTGATTTCAGTAATGTAAAATGACATAATTGTCCTTCTTATTTTTTTTGCTTAATTTTAGTTTGTTTTATAACTTACATGTAGCAATATATTATAAAATTTTAAAAAATATTAAAATTTCATTTTATTGATTGATTATTCATTTCAATAAATTATAAAAATCATAACTTAAAATCATCCCAATTAGGAATGGCCATGGGTCGGGTTTTTGGTCCACCCGACCCGACCCGAGAACAAGGGAACCTCCACCCGAGACCCGACCCGACCAAAATAAAGTTTCACCTGACCCGACCCGAATATATGAATTAGAAACCCGACCCGAAATAATAAAAAAATTATTTTTATTCAATAAAAACAGTGACTTAATTGAAAATATATATATATAGAGGGGTATTATTGTAATTATTCCTAAATATATAAGGCAAAATTATATATTTTTTCGGGTCGGGTATTTTTCACCCTAAACCCGACCCGAATATCACACTTAAAAAAGCTCGACCCGAATATTACACTTAAAAAAACCCGACCCGAATACCAAAAGATTGATGAGGGTAGTATGGTTAAATTTCACATTCCCTCATCCAAAGAATTTCAATTCATCATGTTATGGATGTAATTTACTTTCCCTCCCTTGATGGAATTGGATTCCAATTTCTCCTTTGAAAACTTGAACTAAATATGGGAAAGTGATGGAATTGGATTCCAATTCCCCCTAATTCCAAGGGATTCCAACGAATCAAACGCCACCTTATAATGTTGCGGTTGCAAATTAACTGTTGATTTTTGATTCAGGGTTATATAGATATAAGGTTGGAGATATTCTTAAGGTGACTGGTTTCCACAATAACGCACCTCAATTTCGATTTGTAGAGAGAAAAAACATAATTCTAAGCGTCGAGTCTGATAAAACGAGTGAATCGGATCTCTTAAAGGCGGTGATGGAAGCAAAGACTCTTCTCGATCCGCTCGGGTTCATCTTGATATGGTACACTAGCTATGTTGATACATCTTTGATACCGGGTCACTATGTCATATTTTGGGAGCTTATGGCAAAAGAAGGCGACAACGATACCAAAGAGCTCGATCCAATGATAATGGCGGAATGTTGCTATAAAATGGAGGAGTCGTTGGGTTTTATATACAAAATTTATAGGAAGGAGAATGCAATTGCAGCATTGGAGATTAGGGTGGTAAAACAAAGAAGTTTTGAAGCATTAATGGATTATTATGTGACCCAAGGAGCTGCTTTGAGTCAATACAAGGGACCTACTTGCATTAAATCTAAAGATGCTCTTAAAATTTTAGACTCCACGGTGATAGCAAAGTTTTCTAGCCCAAGAAAACCAACGTAGTAACTTGTAGTTTTCTTCCCCTAAAGAAGTATGTTTTGTGTGCTAAATATATAACGAAATTTATATTGTGTTATACATTTAGGCTTTGTTTGGTATAAAAGTTAAAAAAAATCTTAATTAACAAAATTTTCATCTTTCATATCAGATAAAGTCTTAGTTCGAATTGTTAATTTGTGATATTATAGTTTTTGTGTGCATGATTATGTGTATTAAGCACTTGTTAAGAGACCGTATCCAAGGTCTTTTATGAATACGTTGTTTACTTGGGTGTTATGTTAATCACAGTACATCTGAAGATATTTTAAATTTATTTTTATAAAAACAAAATTCAAGGTAAATTTCACTCAATTATTTTTATGGTTCTGTTTTAAACACCTAATTTTTTTTAAATCATATATAAATTTATATTTTTATTTCGTTTTTATCATTTATTGTTAAAAAATAAATAAAACTGTTAATGTGATATTTTTAATTAAATTGATAGTTTGCTTTCATTGAGGTATCGTATTCTAGTGCTCATGTTGAGTAAATAATCCGATCAATGACGGATCAGATCTGGTTTATGGGCTGAATAATTTAATTATACATTATTTTACCCTCAAATAAAATTATAATAATAGTAACGGTGGAAGCGTGAATATATTTAAGGGTAAATCATATAAATGACCACTGAAGTTTAAATAAATTTCTCTTTTCTTTATTGATGTTTCAAAATTAATGATTTAGTCATTAATGCAATCAATTCATAACAAACAAGTCTCTCCACCGTTAACAGTGTAACAAAATGGTGATGTGGTATGTCAAGCCGGCTGACTTGACATCGTTTGACCGCACGGGACAATAATTTTGATGGGTGTTTGATTCTTCCTTTTTAAAGAGACCACAATCCCTCGATACATGTTCTTTGAAATGCTTTGCAGAACAACGGGGACCGATTTAAATTTAAGAAATGGCGTAGGGTGGTTATGCAGGCACCCAATATTCCAATTGAGTAAGCCGATCAAGAAGACACGAAATCTAGGGATTGTAAATAATGGAAGAGGTGAATGGTGAAGTGTCTATGTGTTGCTTGTTGATCATTAGGTGAATGGTGACTGATGATTATGTACTACTGTGCATTATAATGGTGTAGTTCTCATTGGTTGATTAAAATTGATATATTCTAGGCACAAACTAACTTATCTCAGTGAATAAAAGAATCGTCGTTGTTCCTAGAGGTCATAGATTTGAACACCAGAGACTGTAAGGGTGATTGGGTTTTTATTGTTAAATATAAGATACCTTTATTCGATAACAATATATATAGAAAATTACTAATATGAAAATGCTAATAATTTTAAGAAATAAAAACCAACACCCTCTAAAGTAGTGGACTCTCTCTACTTGAAGCCCAAATATCAGAGTTCATTTTGATACTATCATCCATGTCCTCCAAAATATTGCAAATTGCTTGAACTTATCCTATATTTCCATTTAAATATATTCACGTTTTCCACTATTACTATTATTTTAATCATATTTGCGGGTTACGTATAATTAAATTATTCAGCTAAAACCTGATCTGGTCTGTCATTGATAGGATCATTTCATCCGTTCTAAGGTCGCAAACAGTGAGGTGTCAAAATTTTCAGACAAGAAACTGCAGTTTGGTTTTAATGGCAACTACAAATGACTACGAAGATGGATTGAAGATGATAGAGGAACTAACCACCAACGCTGAGCAGATCCAAGAACAGGTTTTGCAGCAAATACTGGAAAGAAATTCTCGAACAGAGTATCTAAGTCGATTCATGAATGGCCAAACTGACAAGCAATGCTTCAAAACCAATGTTCCTATTGTCACTTATGAAGATGTTAAGCCCTACATCGGTCGGATTGCTGACGGTGAGACATCGAACATCCTTGTAACCGAACCAGTCGTCGAGTTTCATACGAGGTGCAAACTTATTGTCTCTTTTTCTTGTTATTCTTGATATGTTCCTAGTTCGTACTAAGTGAATCCTGATTGATTATATTCAGCACTGGAACTTCAGGAGGGTTGCCCAAGTTGATGCCTGTGACGGCTGAAATTCATGATCAAACGACTCTTTGTTTTACCCTCTTGAGATCTCTGATGATCAAGTAAGAATCTGAGTTCCTATATATATATTTGATCTTCTTAATTTAAGCTAGCAACCCTTGTTCGCGTTTATTCAGACAATTTGGTGACTTGGACAAAACCGGCAAAAGATTGGCACTTTTTTTCGCCAAACCAGACACTGAAACTGCTTCCGGCATCAAGAAAAGAACTGTTCTAACAAGTATATTGAAAGATCCTGGGTCTAGAGCCGCCGTTTTTAAGCTTTACACGAGCCCCATTGAGGCAGTCTTTTCTTCAGACAACAAGCAGAGCATGTTCTGTCAATTACTCATCGGTTTAACACAGCGAGATGATGTCGTTTCAGTTGGCTCGACCTTTGCAACCGTTGTGCTAAGAGCTATCAAGTTCTTAGAAGATCACTATGAAGAGTTATGTTCCAACATAAAAACAGGTCGACTTAGCAATTGGATCACCGATGCAGGCTGCAGAAATGTGGTCTCGTTGATCCTAAAGCCTAATCCCGAACTGGCGGATTCGATCCAATGTATATGTAATTGTAAATCATGGGAAGGAATACTCAAAAAGCTTTGGCCTAAAGCCAAGCTTATTGATGCCATTGCTACGGGATCTATGAGCCAATACGCTGAAACACTAGAATTCTACGGCGGAGGGCTCCCCATAGTGTCGACTGTTTATATTTGCTCAGAAGCCGTTTGTGGTATCAATTTAGAGCCTCTGAGCAAACCTTTTGATGTCTCTTACACGTTTCTCCCCAACATGGCTTACTTCGAATTCCTCCCCGTCAACAAAGACGGCACAACGACGTCCGAACAGATTCCGTTTAACGGCGAACCTGTAGATCTTGTAAATGTGAGGCTTGGTCAATATTATGAGTTACTTGTCACAACTTTTGCAGGTACAATTTCCTATCTTGTAGATGAAAAGTTTAATTATAATGATATACAATCTCTTTTATTATACTATTGACTCCTTTTTAAAACTTTTTACAGGATTATATAGGTATAAAGTTGGAGATATTCTTATGGTGACTGGTTTCCGCAATAATGCACCTCAGTTCCAATTTGTAGAGAGGCGAAACATAATTCTAAGTGTGGATACGGATAAAACGAGTGAATCGGATCTCATAAAAGCAGTGACAGAAGCGAAGACTCTTCTTGAACCGTTTGGATTCATCTTGAGATCGTACACTAGCTATGCTGATACATCTGCTATACCAGGCCACTATGTCATATTTTGGGAGCTTATGGAAAAAGAAGACGTCGACAATACCAAAGACCTCGATCCGATGATAATGGTGGAATGTTGCTGTAAAATGGAAGAGTCGTTGAGTTTAACATATAAAATCTATAGGAGGGAGGATTCAATTGCAGCATTGGAGATTAGGGTGGTGAAACAAGGAAGTTTTGAAGCATTAATGGATTACTATGTGTCCCAAGGAGCTGCTTTGAACCAATACAAGGGATCTAGTTGCATTAAATCTAAAGATGCCATAAAAATTTTAGACTCCAGAGTAATAGCGAGGTTTTTCAGCACCAAGAAACCATTGTATTAAGTTGTAATTTTAGGCATTAATAGAAGGTGAAATGTCATTGTACTCGTTTTAAAATTTGAGTTAAAGATAATTATATATGTAATGTATTATTAATAATTAAAAGAATTTTAAACTCCATAACCATAGCAAGACTATGAGCAACTCCATTTCTCTGAACTGAGAATAGATTTAGAAAATCCAAACAATTTTCTATCGTTCAACATTATTTATTTCATCATTTGAACAAGAAACAACGAAACTCTAAACTGAGTTCATTTAGGTGCTCAAGGATGTAGAGGTTTATACCTCAAATTGAAGTGTGATTATAAAAGTTCAGGCTTTGCTCATCCAAGCTTACCATTCTTATATTCACTCTTACCTTAAACGAATCAAATCAAAACATGTCCAACACAAACTGTCTTGCCCCACTTCTGAATTGAGATTGAATGAGAAAAAAATTACACCCGAAGCTTTATTCTTTAGAGGGCATAATTTAAAGCACCCGCAAAACACTTGCTTCTTTTTTTATTTATTTAAAGATTCCTGCTTTTTTTTTGGTTCTAGCCATTAATATACACACGCAAAGAGGGTTTTTTTTTTTGTGATTGGTATTATAAACGGAGGCTCTAAAATGGGGAGTATTTCACAAGCTTATTTAGATAGCCAAGCAGTGAAGGAGGCGAGATCTTCGATATCTGAGCTTTGCCGCCAGTTCTATAGCCTTGGATGGGTCTCTGGAACAGGTGGCAGCATCACCTTGAAGGTCCACGACAGTTCTATCGCTAAGCCTCAGCAACTCATCCTCATGTCCCCTTCTGGTAACTATTCCTCAATCATCAATCAATCAAACAATCATCTTTTCTTTTCGATGTTCTTTTGATTTCTGAATATTTAGTATTGGAACTCAAATCTGTGTGTTTTGAACATTTTAATGTGGGGTCTTAGATAGCTGGATCAATGTTTTTGTAGCTTAATCATTAGTTTTTTAACAAGATTTTCTTGGTTCTCGGTCCTGAGTATTTGTTATTGAAGCTAAAAGCTGTCTTTTGTAATGATTTATTCGGGAAGATTGATCGTTTGTTCATGATATTGTAGCTGAATTAACTATTTTTAACTTCTTTATTTCTAGGTTTTGTTATTTTAGCTTAAATTTTATTTTATTGTTCTTTTAGCTTCTGTTTAGGTCATTCATGCTCAAAATTTTTACTTTATTATTATTATTAATCAATAGGGTTTAATAACCTAGCTGTTTGCTGATTAGCCCACTTATTTGTTTTCTTTACACACTTGCTTTTGGATATTAATTATTCAAGCATGACTGACTCTGATATCTGGGATATGGTAAACATACCTCAAACTTCCCCCTTTTTATGGCCTTTTTGGGTACTTGGTATATGCTTTTCAAGCCTAAATGAATCCGAATATTGATTTTAGTCCATACGAGTCTAATTATCTTCCAACATCCTTTTTTTCCCCATTAAGAATTTACAGTCTGATACCTTGTAGATAGAACTTTTCATTTACAATCTGTTCTCCATATGTTGTCGTTCATCTCCAATTGCATGTTTGTTTATTTCTTTGCATTCTTCTGATTGCTGGAATATTGTTGTTTAAGAGTTACTGTTCGTATTCTCTTCTACAATATAGCTTCATTATGGATTTGTGACTGGGTGCTTTGATAGGTGTCCAAAAGGAGAGAATGGAACCGGACATGTATGTATTATCAGGGGATGGGGCTATAATATCTTCACCTTCTCCAAAGCCGTGCCCTCATAAGCCTCCTAAGTGCTCTGATTGTGCTCCTCTTTTTATGAAGGTAATTATTATCTGTGTTTTTGTAGGAAAAACATACAAAAGAAATTACTGTTGGATTGAAATCGTAACAAAGCCAGGTGTGTTTGTTTTGGTGCAAAAACTGATTAAAGATCCCTGTTGCAAATCAACAACCGGCAGATTTGGTTCTCATCTAGTTTAGGTGCCCTTGATCATATCGTAACTTACAATTAGTAGGGTGAGTTATGCATGCGGAACTTATACCCAATTACGATCTTTTGATGTATATTCTTGCACTTGTTGCAGCTAAAATTGTTAAAGTTTACATTGGTAAAAGTGAATCCTCTTTGTTACTTCATCTGATGCATTCTAAAACTCATTAACTACATAATTTTTTTTGTTCTTTTACCCAAAGGTTAGCCGCTGATTATTTGGTTTGGTTAAGGAGTCAAAGTAGTCCTGTTATGTCTCCATGTTATAATGTTGATGAATTATCCATGACAGATGTAACCAAATCAGCATTTAATGGCATGCCGCCTCCATTTTTATGTTTCGAGTTCTGTATTTATATTTAATGTTCTTTCTGCCTCATAATTCAGGCATATCATATGCGTAATGCTGGGGCTGTTATCCACAGTCATGGAGTAGAATCCTGTCTTGTAACAATGATTGATCCACATTCGAAAGAGTTTCATGCAAGTTATTGTTTTGTAATATTATTCTAGGGTGTGTTTCTCGCTATTTCTCACCTTTAATTTCCTTCTTTTCTGCTAGACATCTGTGTTTCTTTTAGTGATTGATTTACTTTTTCTGTTTTGGATGTTTGCAGATCACTCACATGGAAATGATAAAAGGAATCCAGGGACATGGTTACTATGATGAACTTGTGATCCCAATAATTGAGAACACAGCCTATGAAAACGAGCTAACGGATTCTCTCGCCAAAGCTGTATGTTTCATTTGCATTAATCTTGTTAATAGATAGATTATGAGACAGGTTTTATAATGATCATAAAATGTTATGTAGCGGAATGAGATTATCAAATATTCTATATCAACGAAGACCACTTCGCTAATGAGAACATATTGTCTACACTCCATTGCAGTCCATTTCAATCAAATTTATCCACGCATAACATTGCTTTTGCTCAATTGAAGTCTACTTCATTTTTTTTTCAGATTGAAGCCTATCCTAAAACAACAGCTGTGCTTGTGTGCAATCATGGCATATATGTATGGGGAGACTCGTGGATCAGCTCTAAAACTCAGGTTCGTTGAACTTATGTATATAATTGAGTTCCAACTGGGGAAATTTCAGAATGTGTATCTGGAGCCCCTCTCTCATGGGCTTTACTGCAGCTTACAAATGCCAAAAGTATTTTCGTATGCATATGAATTAGAATATAATAACAAGATTAAAATGTAAGACCTCCATTAAAAGTTGATGCTCCTCCCTAGTAAGATAGAGATTCTTACATGTTGCATCAGTCGTATTTTGTTTCTTACTATTTCAGGCTGAATGTTACCACTACCTATTTGATGCTGCTATTAAATTACATCAACTAGGCTTTGACTGGTCTACTCCAGATCATGGCCCCATTCGGAGTGTTAAAGGAGTTCCAGGTGTCGACTGTAATGTGTCTAAAAAGGCTAGGACAATGGATTCAAATTGTAACTTGAAGCCGTTACCTGTAAGAATTTTGCAAATTCTCCCTTCAGTTTGTTAAATTCAGAACTTTTGCAACGACAATGTGCCCCCTCTCACAAAAAATTTCATATGGGGAACTGTCTTTTAACTTGAATGGATGAATGACGTATTGGTAGACTCTGCTTTTTTCATTGCTGAACAAGAAGATTGTTACATTCTTTCGTCAGAAATACACACTCCTTTACGGTTTGTTCTGTTGCAGCGTTGCATTGTCCTTGACATTGAAGGAACCACTACTCCTATTTCATTTGTAACGGACGTTCTCTTTCCTTATGCCTGAAACAATGTTTGGAGGCATTTATCTGCAACATATGCTAGTGCTGAATCCCAGGAGGATATTAAGTTATTTCGTTCTCAGGTAAGATTTTTCTTTTGACCTTTGAACCTCTTATTATATTATGCTGTCATCATGATACAATCTTTCGGCTTTGCTTTCTTGAAGCAATTATTCTTAATATATTATAGGAAAGAACTGAATTTAACAGTTACGCCACCATGGAGATTAGGGTGATCAAAGAACTTGATATTGACTCCTAAATTAGATGTCTATATTGAATACATAATGGGTTTTCTGCAGGTTGAAGATGACTTGAAGCAAGGTGTTATTGGCGCTGTACCTATCCCCTCAGAGGATTCAGGAAAAGAGGAGTTGATTGCAGCGTTGGTTGCTAATGTGGAAGCAATGATAAAAGCTGATCGAAAAATCACTGCCTTGAAGCAATTGCAAGTAAGAAAAATGAACTCAAAGAAAATATATTTTTAAAGCTTACTGTTGGGATGAGCTAATACATGAAGCAAAATAGGGCCATATATGGCGAACTGGATTAGAGAACAAGGTAGAGCACAAGGTTCTTAACCTTGAGGTCGTGGGATCGAGTCCTACGGAGGACATTTCATAATTCGGAGGTCTCTTACGGAAGCTGCTCTTAACTTAGTGTTGGGGTAGCCTACTATCTTACCTCCCCTTACCTCATACATATGGGAAAAAGGGACAGCCATTTGGATTAGAGAACAATGAACTCAAAGGCATAGTTTTTGATGATGTAGCAGAAGCTCTTGAAAGTGGCATGCTTCGGGTGTGAAGGTATCTTGCATATTTCATTTACTCGAGTTTATTTTCCGAATGAAGTTTCGCACTCCATATTTGTAAAGCCTACTCACTAAACAAAGCAGTCATGAATTACAATCTATTACCACAGAAACAGGATGATTTCTCTTATTTCTTAGAAGACTTGCATATCAATTACGAAAAACGAAGCATATCCTCATATATGTTAAAGAGTGTCTAACCTTGTAGCTCTCTCCCTCTCCATAATCCCTTTTTGAAATGATCAGTAATCCTTAATTATGCTTTGAATTACCGATGTCTGTCTATATTTGTCATTCACACTCAAGTTCGAGTAACTTAGCTCCTTGACCTCTTGAATATTTACTGGAAGTTCAATTTCAATGTTAACCACTGCTTCCTTTTTTCACCACAGGTATACATATATTCCAGTGGTAGCAGATTGGCTCAGAGGCTTCTCTTTGGAAATACAAAATTTGGTGATTTGAGAAAGT